GGCCTTCGTGCCCAAACTCACATACACTGTGGACCAGGAATCGCAGGTGCCAGGGCCGGAAGGAGCCTTTGAAATCAGCTGGGCCATTGTCTTTCGTTGGAGTCCAGAGCGGTTATTTTCTCCAAAGTCACAGATAAGCAAAGCCGGCAACAGAACCTAAGCTCTCATTTGTAAAACAGTTGCTGCTATATTAGTCCCCCCCCCCACCCCCTCTCCTAAAGTGCCAAGGGCAGGGCACTGTGACAAATGTACTAAACTTCTCTCGCTTTGGGGATAAGCGAGTCCCTTCGGCAAGTCTGTTTTGGGGGAGAGTACTGGTTAAGCCGTGGAAAAGAAACTTCCGGTCATGCTTGCCTGCTTGCATCATGAGGGTGTCCCGTTGTTGGTTTTTGTGGGTTTTGTTCTGCTTTTCTATTTCATTACACTGTCCCCCAGAGTTCTTTTCAGGCACAGATGTTCACTCCAAGAGTAATCGTTGACAAACGAAGGGCAAGGGGACTGGGTGAGTCCGGCGTGAAGCCGGCCCACCCTCAAGCTCACGTCAGAGATAAGAACGTATTTCTCACACTTTGATCTGAGCGTGAGAAGCTGGGGTTCTTGGGGAGCGCAGGAGGCAGAGGATGCCTTTGGAAGACCGGCTGTTGGCCAGTCTCCGGGGGCCGCTGAGTTCCTGTTTGAGAGGACATGTTTTCCCTCTTCCCTGGAGGTGACCAGCCTGAAACACCAGGCTTCTTCCGTTCATTTTTTTTTTTCTTAAAAAATAATACAAGTCCACAGCCTCATGTCTAAAACCTCTGGAGCCAGATGTGTGTGGAATTCTGAATGTTTCAGATGTTTAAACAGGTTATGCAGCAAACATACTAGATAATCTGTTGTGTCACCCCCGTGGGGCCTGGGGCAAGACTCCATCATCAAGCACATTTATATTTTGTAGCAAAACATAAATATTCATAAGAAGTGGGGTAAACAAGACTATAAATAGCCTCACATCAGTTCATTTCAGGTCAAGCTGACCACTGCAGGAGTTAAATTTTAAGCTTCAGATGATTAAGGCTGGTGAGACTGTAATGTTCTGAATAAGGGTGTAGATACAGGCCTGTCACGGCATTATCAGCAGTTTTCTTTCTATGCGTTAAAAAATGTGTGTTTCTGTGTGTGTAATGTTTTCTTGATCCATATTCAACTTTAAGTTTGTTACTATTTCTTGGAAACTACTTATTCGCTTTATATATATATATATATATATATATATATATAAAATATTTTTATGAATTTCAGAGAGGAGGGGAGAGGGAGAGAGGGACAGAAACATCAATGATGAGAATCTTTGATAGGCTGCCTCCTGCACGCCCCCTACTGGGGACCGAGCCCACAACCCTGGCATGTGCCCTGACAGGGAATCAAATCATGACCTCCTGGTTCATAGGTTGATGCTAAACCACTGAGCACACGGGCTGGGCTATTCGCTTTATATTAACGTCAGAGACACATTAGCCGTGTTTTGCTCTGATCTTGCTTCATTTCGGCTTCTGCCCTGGGCTGGGTCTTCCGAGACTCTCGGGGGTGACAGAGGAATAAACTGCTCTAGTGCCTACCCCGCTGTCCTCTTTGCACCAACCATGCGAAGGGCCTGGTCACGACCGCCTCCCCGCCAGCTTCGCTTCCACTTGTGAAATGCCGTGCGGCTTTGCAATCTTATGTTTGTGGCTACTAACGGGAGGACCTTCAGTCCCTGGAAAGCTATATTAAACCAGAAAAAAACGAGAACAGGAGCTGTACATACAGACAGAACAGGAGAAAACTCCAAGGCTAACTTCGTCCTGGCACATAGAAGTCTTGATCAGTCTGGCTAATGCTGAGAAAAATAGTCCTCTCCCTTCTTAAATCCTCAGAGCCCGACAGACACTCGTCCTCCATAAAATAGGACTTGAAAAATTAGCCGGGACATTCTGCAAGGTCAGTGAGCAACAGCAACGCCTGTAGCTGCAAAGCCAGCAAGGCAGGACCAGTCTGGCCGGAGCAGGAGAGGATGTATCCACGTAAATAATACGTACAGGCTTGCATTGCAGCAAGTTGCAAAGGCAGAAAACCATCAAAGACACTAAAAAGGCGGGCGGGGGGGGAGCTACACATACAGGGAGGAGAAAAGAAGAAATGCTACAGGTTTTCAAATGGTAATTTAGTGCCTTGTGTAGTAATAAAAGCGACCCACGGATACAGCTATTGCAGAAAGCGAAATTTCACAGGCAGTGCCACTAAAATACCAGAGGCCATACATCACGTCTGACCCAGGCTGCCACCTCTTAGAGCGAATTCTCACATGGGAGCTTAAAAAAGAGTGTGTGACCGGCCCACTGTCCTGCGGCCACGGCCACGGCTTTGTCTGACGTCTTGAATTTCCAGTGTCTCTCACACTTCCTCCTTTTCAGATGCACAAAAGGTTTTTGTCAAGTCTCTCTCGGCTTCATGGCTGGCAGCTAGAGAAACCATGCCGCAGGCCCCGCAGGCCCGGTGTGGAGTTATAGGGTGTGATTGTCGTTGGCTAGTGTCTGCAGAGCTTCTGGATTTTTAGAAATAACTGAGAGCTGTTATATGAAAACCTGTAGGGGATGAGATTTGCCCGCTATGGCTGCTCACTCTCTGCGGAACGGTATGGAAAAGCTCCCGGATTCAGGAAGCGGGCACTGGCCTAGGACCCTAAAGCCAAGTAACCAAGTAACCAAGAATGATCTATACTTGCATTAGCTCAGGAATGCGACTAGGACCGCTGCTGGGGGTCCGGGGGATGGGTTTGAACCCCCACTGGGCCGCTCTCTGGGCGCCCTGGGGCCCTGGTCTTCTATAGGAAACCAACTCCCACCTCCTGACCTGGTCCTAGGCCAGCGGTTCTCAACCTGTGGGTCACGACCCCTTTGGGGGGTCAAACGACCCTTTCACAGGGGTCGCCTAAGACCATCGGAAAACACATATATCATTACATATTGTTTTTGTGATTAATCACTGTGCTTTAATTATGTTCAATTTGTAACAGAGAAAATACATCCTGCATATCAGATATTTACATGACGATTCATAACAGCAGCAAAACTACAGTTATGAAGTAGCCATGAAAATAATGTTATGGTTGGGGGTCACCACAACATGAGGAACTGTATTAAAGGGTCCGGCACTAGGAAGGTTGAGAACCACTGTCCTAGGCCATGAGGCGTGGGAGTGTGCACTGAGCAGAACCGCACTCGTAGGCGGTCGGTTCCTGTTGTTACAGAACCACAGCCAGACGCGGGCGACCTGGGCACTGGTCACGCGAAGTGCGCGCCCGGGGCGGAGCGCACCGTCCGGTAGGGGGCGAGCGCCTCACACCTTCTCCCTCGCGGGCCGGGGCCGGCGGCCTGGCGGCTGGGGGGG